AGAGCTGTCCTCCTCCTACAAAGCCCTAACTGCTAATGAGCCTCACTGCCTCCCACAGTAGGAGCTCAACCAATGCCTCTATAACACCCCATCACCTGAAAGAGGAATGATTTTAAGAAAAACATTCACCCCACATCCACGCAATGCTTTCACAGCCCCGGCTCCCTGGCAAATGCAATCACACAGCAGCCAAATTGCATTTCCTACCAGACCACCGCCGACAATGGCAACTCTTTTCCCCTGCGGGTCACTGGGCTCCATCGCTGGGGCAGCCCCCGGGTTTCAGGTTCTTACTGCTGCGTCCCTGCTCCCTGTCCTGCTGTGCTGCCCTCACCAGCAGGGAGGGGAAGGGGAAGGACGTGGGCGGCTGAGTCACACCTGGGTTCTTCTTCCCTGGTTCATATTAAAGTTTAACTCCAAGCCCAGAAATTGCCAGCAAATCAGCCTGGCTGTATGGCCAGCCACACTGAGCCTCAGGTGAAGGGGCGTGAATGTGGCGTTATTCAGTCGGGCCTTATTAAAAGGCCTCTTTTGAAAATCATAAAACAATTCTGCAGCCTTCAAGGACCTCCTAATGAAACATGCACAGAACAGGAGGAGAACTTGCATTTGCTGGGCTTTTGCTGGTGCTTCGCTGGGCTGCAATTGCAGAGGCACCGGTGGGACAATGCAGAGTAACTCCTGGAGCACTCTCCTAAGGGTGGGATGTGAACCACACTGCTTGCCTAGGGGCCTGATCCCTTCTGTGAGGACACCTTTTGCCCAAGGAAGCTCTGTGTGGCTTAAGTGTTTTGGGGTGTGATGCTGAGCAGAGGGTCCATGCCTAATCTACAGAAGCTTTCCAGGACTTGGATGAGGCTATGGGGAGACATCTCTGTGTACACCATTTCACATGCTTGTCCTTGGGAGGAAGTGCTCTGCTGTGCCAATGCTGTGCACAGTAAGCTTTTAAAAGGGAGGAGCCAATTACAGCCTACACACAATAATTAAACAGCAGACAGTGAAAACACATACATTAACATACACTAACTACCATTTATTGCTAAACCTGCAATGCATAGCCCAAAACAGCAGCTTTGTCTCAAAGGAGCAAGACCAAATCCCCACACAAGCACAGCACCGTTCTCCATTGCATGTCCTGGTTCCCAGTGCAGCAAAGGCCATATTATTTATTTTCATATTATGAAAATAAATTATTCATTAATTATTTTCAGACCACAGAGAGCGCACCATTAGTTTCCAGCAGTCACAGTTATTACTTGGAAATATATCACTCACAGCACCCTTTGCATAGTTGTCTAGTAGCCTTTACAGATAACTCCACCACCCTGGTTTACCAATTTGATAGCATCACTTTAAGGTACACCAATTACTTCATGGACTCCTGAATTACACATACAATTGTGTAACTAAAGCTAGTCTCATAATACTGCTTTCTGCAGCCTTGGCCACGATCTGTGTACCTGCTCTGGAGGCAGGAGGCATGGACACACAGGGAAGCACCCGACCCATCAGTGAGCAGTACTATATGGTACAGTAAACAGGCCACAGTTTGAAAGTTTTTTCTTCCAAGATGATACACATCAGCTTCTCGCTGCCAAATGTATCTATCTCCTTAGCTACTGACAATAGTTCTTGGCAGACCAGATTAAGCTTTGCCTATCAGGGACTATCTATGCCCAGTGCCATATCTTTTCTTCTGGGTAACCATTCCAAACAAAATTTAGGTCCCTGGGTTATCTTCATCAGATTCACTCACAAACTACACCAGGCAAAAACAATGTAAAGATGTTCTTCGCTTTAAGAACAGGAGAAGGTGGGAAGACATTGAGAAAATGCTATGAATTCATTGTTTATCATTCTGTATTAAACACAACCAGCCTGCTGAGAGCATGAAAAAGTATTGCTTTATTAAAACACTGAGTGAGCCTTCCGAGGAGTCCTAAAAGAAAATAAAAAGCTCAGGATAGCATGGGCTCAGATTAAAGTCTGCCTTCTGAAAATTAGTGGGAAAAGTAAAGAGGGGAAAAGTGTTTGATTTATGTTGCCGAAGAAAAAGACCTACTAATATCCAAGGAAGAACCTCAGGATTGTATTATTTTTTTGAAAATCAAGTCTAAACCCTGATTATATGAGGGAGAGCTTGAGAAATAATGAAACAAATATGCACAGTTCCAGGCTGCTTAAATTGCCCTCCAATAGCTCTTGAGAAGAAAACCATGGGTAGCTTTGTAAATGTGAGATTTGGGAGAGACTGAGAGTCAGAGCCCTCCTGGGGCAGAAAACGTGGACTGTGGTTAGCTGGGGGTAGGCATTGCACTTCAATGTTCAAACCCAATGACTGCAGGAGCAGATTTCTTTCTGTTCTTCTCCACTGAGAATTATTTATCCAAATAGTGTCTAAAGCCAACCCACACAGGTAGGGCAGAGTGCTGGTCTTCAGGAAAATCCAATGCTAGGATTTTTCTCTGCTATGCAGGTAACTTGTGTTTGGATCGTTCCTGCTCATCTTTAGTTTGCCGGATAGGTAATTACTGTAGGACAAGTATATCTGTGAGGGAGTAAAAGAAAAAACGCTGAGGGAGGAACACTTCAGGCTGATGAGGTTTGGCGACTAAACCCTCATTCAGGCACCCTGGGTTAGTTTGCGTTATCCTCCCCAGGAGGGCAGCAGCCCCCTTTGCAAGGGGCATTTCATCAAGTTGCACATGAAGGGGACTCTCAGCCCTGGAGCTGGGTCATACTCATTTGCAAGGGCTCGGATAACACTAGTGTTAAGATTATTTCATGCCCAGGGGCTGCTGCGGGCTGCCAAGCCTATAAGATGCTTTGGGATGGGTTTTCTTGGTTCTGTGAAGAGACAGCAAAAAAAGTGGTGATTGCTTGTGGCTGGCCTGGGCTTGGAAGATGAGAGGAAACAACTGAACTAGCAGAAACGGGTGAGCAGACCACAGGTGCATGGTACGTTTGTTCTGAACATCTGCAGTCTTTCTTCCGCTCACTTCTTGCACAAACAATGTGCAGTCATACAGACATTAGGCTGTCAATCAGACAATTAGGAGCTGTTCAAATACAGGTTGACCCCAGCAATCCTATGGTCCACTTGCAGAGGAACACCTACTGTCAGTATGTGGGCCACCTGCAACAAGAAAAATGGCTTTATTATGTTTGGTAATAGCCAACAGTGCATGCTTGCTGCAAAAGGACAGCATAGATGTGTCAGATCTCATAAGCCATGGTGGAAGGTAGCTGAAGAAGAGGAAGAAGACATCTTAAAAGCCATGACAAGATCTTCCTTTGATGATTTCTGCAAACAGCTAATTGCACTGATTCTGGAAGGAGCCAAGAGATCTTTACTGGTACTGATTACAAACCTATGTAAAAGCGAAAGGGGTAGAAATGTTTATCCCTTATAATCCCATTAGGTAAATAATCTGTTCAGGAATTCAAATCCCATGCTAAAGAGGGCCATACAGATATCCTCACCAGCAGGTTGCCCATGCCTGAGGATCCAGCTGCCTCCATCCTGTCCTTCTGGTCATTAAAGCTTTGGAAGAGCCATAGCACAGAAATAAAAGCTATGTTCCAACCAATGCAACAGTGAGTCCCCATCCCAAAGTCCCCAGCCACCCCACCACACCCTAGCAATGTGCATTTCTTTACCAGCCTCAGCATGTAAGAACATTCTAGCACCACTGCTTCCACACCTGCTTTCTTGCTCTCCCCTCCTGACATACTCGGCAAGACTTGCTCTTGGCTCAGATCCTTGCTCAAGGGCCCTCCTGCCACTGGCATTTGCATGAGCAGACTAGTTTGAACACTAGTCCTGGGTGAGATCTGCTCACACCTAGAAAGCTGACCAGGACAAGCTCAGAGATAGCAGGGAAGGCACAAGCAAGTGAGCCCCTAGAGGAGCTGGCTGCTGACCTCTGCTAAGGGTTCGAGGGCTCTACAGACCTGGGGGCAGCCTGGGGAGAAGCCCATCCATTTCTGCACTTTAAAAAACACACCAGCTGCAAGCACAGGTTTATCAAAAGGCTTAGCTTTATTTCTGAGTACTCCTCTCCCTTTGTACCATTTTTCTTAGCAAGTGGTGGTAGGTTTTTTTTCCAGGAATTGCTGATTAGCAAATGTCTCAGCAGTGTTTTAAGAATATAAATCCTACTGGGAACCTTAGCCTGAATGTAAAACACATGCAGCCCTTATTTAGCAGCTGTCTGCTGCGTTCACAGGGAGATCCAAAGCCCAGGGTAACAACTACTGCAGAGCGGAGCCATGCAGCATTGCTGGGTGGTGGCTCTGTGTGGCAGGGACACAGCTTGGTATCATCTGCGGACCTTGTCTGATCCTCATGTTTATTCCATAGTAAACAACAGTTAATTACTCAAGTTACAAGACTGAGTGTATCAAATCATCACTTAAACTGCCTCAATCCCATTGTTGTGTTAAAGACAATATTCAGGACTGGCCTTAGTGAAGAATCATAAAGGCATAGGATTGCCTTGTCTGCCTTGCTACCCCACCTGTGCAGGAAGGAAGGGCTAAAAGTTTACATCGTGGCTGCCTGTTTACTTACGTAGGCAGGGCAGGGAGTGTGCTGCCAGTCCAGTGGTGTGCCATGGATGTGGACGGGAAGCCCCCATGGGGCACTGGGAGCACCCCTGTGGGAGGGTAGTGGTGGTGGTGATGCACCGCAGATGGCCTGGGCCTGTCTGCTTTCACAGCCAGGGGAGCAGCAAACTGCAGGTCCTTGTTGGAGAGAGACAAATGGCAATTTGTGAAATCTGTGCCCCCACAGGAAGGGTCCCTGGCTGAGGGGCTGGGTTCCCACTCAGCCACACCTTGATAACGGAAGTCCTTCAGCATGTGTCTGGAGACAGGTTTTGCAGGCTCCAACAAACACTTGGTGATTTCAGATTTCACCTGATATTCAGAGGCACTCAGACCCCACTCAGACCCCAGTTTATCCCACCAGTCTACGTCAGGGAAACATACAGTGACAGGATGGCCTGGGGAGGAAGGTGGGGACCGGGGGAATGCACAGTCTTCCTCTGCCATCTTCCTTTAGACGTGGGGTCATCCACAGAAAGCTGCAGATGACTCCGCTGGCTCTCCCAGAACCACCGTCTGCCCCAGACATCTCCCTCACGCAAGGGGGA